TTTTTATCCTAACATAGGTTTAGTTCTGTATATACGAAAGGCTACCCTATTATAAAATGATAAAAGCATCAACTGCTGTTTAATTTGTAGTCTTTAACTTTTTATCCTCTCAAATTTACTTTCATGTAATAAATACTGTAAACACCCGGTTTTCATTTTACCAAATGGTTAACTAGTTCTTATAGCCTCATTTTTCCATATTTTCAGTATTTGCAATGACACCTTCATTGCATACTAAACTTTATCCATTACTTGCAGTAAGCACATGGTGGGGAGGCCGGAGTTGACTTCCTCTGGCTTCCTTCTTGCCAAGAGGCAGTGCTCAGACAAGCCTCCGTTCTCTTTTAGCTTCTCCGACTCCAGCCTTTCCTCTTTCAACACTCACTTCTGTGCTGGATTCCAGAATTCATGGCAAGCACAGAACACACACAACATACCCACAATGATGGGAGTTGATTAGGGAAGTCACCACAAGTCAGGGTCAGTAAGCAGTCACTGGCTGACAGCAACACCTCTTCTCAGCCAGCCACCAGGTCTGTCTCTGGTCCTCAGCATCTCAGCCACATAGTCCCTTGGTTTCTGCCTCTGGGGACCAGGAGGCCAGCCTGTGCCCCTGTCTCCCATTCCAGCAGTCTCAGCACTGTCCCAGAGTCTCTGTGCCACAGTCTTTGGTGCCTCTGGCCTCAGCTTCCTCCACTTCAGACAGAGACCTGGAACGTGCTCTTCCCTGGCCCTGGACTCTCCCTCTGTCCAAGATGGACCTTCTGCACAGAGAAACAGCTTTGACGGGCATGTGGTTTTGTCTTTTAGCAGACCACATCCCCAAGGAAACCAAGGGTGTGACTTGGTCCCACACCCGCTACTAAGGTCAGGACTTAGTACACTACTCTAGCCTTCCTCGTTTAATTACTGTCGCTGTATAATTTCCTTTAGTGGTTATTAGAACTTAATCCCCTTTATTTCTGTTCTACTGAAGAATATTCTTCAGTGGGCCTTTTAAAAGAAAAGAAAATTCTAAATGACTCCCTTTTGCAAATCTCAGAAAAGAAAAAAAACCCACTGCCACTGAGCCAGCTTCCAAATCATAGTGACCCTCAATGGAGTTCCCAAAACTGTAAATCTTTACAGAAGCAGACAGCCTCATCTTTCTGCCCTGAGACAAGTGGTGGGTTTGAACCTCTGGCCTGGTGATAGCAGCCCAGCACCTAATTGACAGTGCTATCTGGGCTCCTTACCCCTGTTAAAAGTCTTAGCGCTGTTAAAACCATCAATGGTGGTTTGGTTTGTATTTCAACAACTATAGAAGCATGGTTTGTATTTGCAGTTGCTAAAATCATGTTTATTTGTTCCTAGGTCCCTTGTAGTTTGGAATACTGGGATGAACTCCAGAAAGTTTTTGTGGCATTTCGAGAATTCAGTCTATCTGAAAGCAAAGTTTGTGAACTGCAGTTGCCAGATATCAATCTTGTGAATGACCAGAAGAAACTGGTGTCCTCGGACCTTTGGAGAATTGTCCTGAACAGCAGTCAAAATGGTGCTGATGACCAAAGGTAACTCCATGAACAATGACGGTAGCGGCATGGCAGTGGTCGGAAGCAATGGGAGGGGATGGGCAAGTCCTTTTGGGTGTCTGATCACCCTCCACCTAACTGCATCTTCGCTGTCTAGTAGTAACTGCATCTGGCTCAGCTACCGAGGAGAACTAGGAAAATAATGATCTTTAAAGTCTGCAGGCCCTGACTGAAAGCAAGTTTCTTACATATAAGAGGGAATATATGTTTTTAAATTTTTTAAATGAAAATTCAATCATCTTGTACCCAAAAACATAGAGGAAAGCTTCCAATACACCTCAGTAGAGTTTTTTTAAATGTACTTTTTATGTGATACAAATATAGCAAAACATTTGGCAAATCAGCATTTTTTATGTGTACAATTCTATATCCTTGATTATGTTCATTATGTTCTGCAACTCTCTCATCACTGTTCATTTCCAAATCACTCTGTCAGTGTTAGCAGAAACACAAGTGCCTCCCACCCCTGGCTGCCACTAATAGGTATCGCTATATGTACATTTGCCTATTCTAAACATTTCATATCCACCCCTTTTGTGATGCCTTATTTCACTCAGCATGATGTCTCAAACATCATTCATGTTGTAGCATGTAGACTTTACTCCTCTTTTAGGCTGAGCCCCTGGTAGCATAGTGGGTTATGCATTGGGCTGCTAACTGCAAGGTCAGCAATTCGAAACCACCAGCCACTTCTCAGGAGGAAGGTGCTCCCTAAACGATTGACAGTCTTGGAAACCCACAGGGGAAGTTCTACTCTGTCCTGTAGGGTCACTGTGAATCAGAACCGACTCAATGGCAACGAGGTTTGCGTGAGAGCTTGACATTGTCTGTGCGTGCCACCCCGACTCGGACACCCTAGGGCCGTTGTCCTCTGTCCTAACGAGGGATGCCGATGTCTGGGAGCCCAGATCAACTCAACACTAGTGGGTTAGTCTGGTTTTGGAATGATGTTGAGTATCTTTTCATGTACTTGTGTAACCTCTTGCGTAATTTATCTATTCAAAGCCTTTACCCATTTTTTTATTAGACTGTTTTTCTTTGTTGCTACATTATTCGAGTTCTTTCCATATTCTGGTTATTAGACCCTTGTCATATATATGTTTACCCAAATTTTTCTCCCACTCTCTAGATTGTCTCTTTGCTTTCTTAATAAATCATAGACTCTTCGTAACACAGTAATAATTCTTTGTAGTGAGGCGGTAAAAAAAAAAGTTCAATAAATTCACTTGTCTCTTCCGCATAAGGTACATTCTGAAATGTTTTTCATGTTAAACGTTTAAAAAACAAAACAAAAATGTTAAATACCAACTTTCAGATATTAGGGATACCTTTTGTTAGTTATTATCAAGTGAATTTCAACTCATAGTAACCCGTGTGTTACAGAGTCGAACTACTCTGTAGGGTTTTCTTGGCTCTGATCTGAATGAAGGAGCCCGCCAGGCCTTTCTTGCCACAGTACCGCGGAGAGGCATTGAACCACCAGCCTCTAGGTTGGCAGACTGTTGCACCACCCAGAGATCTGTAGGAAAACATAGCAAACGGAAATAATTTGTCCCCAGAGGGTGTCAGATAGCCGATGCTTTATTCAGCAAGAGCAGTGTTTCTTAACCTGTGGGTCACGACCCCTTTGGGGGACAAACTACCCTTTCCCAGAGGTTGCCCGATTCATAACAGTGGCAATATTACCGTTACGAAGTAGCAACAAAAATATTTTTATGGTTGGGGGGTGACCACAACATGAGGAACTGTATTAAACAGTCACGGCATGAGGAAGGTTCAGAAACCCCTGAGCTAGAGTCTATTTGGACATCATGACATTCCAATTCTGCACCTCTCTCCTAAGGGAGCTCAGGTGAATAGCAGCACTGACTACATGGTATCCATTTCCTGCTGACCTCATTCACTGATTGTGGTAGACAAAAGTGGCTTCAACAACCTGTTCTTCAGCCCGCCCTTTAGTGCACACATCCCTCTTTAGGCCTTTTGACTACAGGTCCCAAAAGACAAGACACTAAGCCATAGTCAGAACAGCCTACTTGCTTCATAGCATTATATGTTTACTGTAGAACTGTCCCCTGAATTCTTAATAATTTGACTAACCCTGTACTCTGTTTCTAGCAGTTTCTTAAAGTGGTGAAGTGGAAAAGAGTTCAAATGTCTAAAAATATATATACAACTAATGAATTTTGCTCATTTTAAATATATGCTAGTTTTCCTTTTATCTTGCCAGTAAGACATTTTTGTGTGGACAAATCCATAGCAACTTAGTAATTGGCTTCGTGTGTTAGACTGGGTTCTGTAGAGAAACAGAACCAGTAGCATTATATGTGCATATAAAGAAGGGAATTTATATCAAGGAACTGACTTACAGAGTTGTAGAAGCTGGTAAATCCACTTTGGCTCAAGTTCATGGGTCAGATGTTAAGATGGAGGCTTTTCCTGAACTCTATCTGCCAGAGCTGATGAACCAGGAAGCAGGAAGATGAACTTGGATGCAGGAGGGCCGCAGGCTGGTGGAGGCAGAGGCAAATGAACCCAAGGTTGGCCAGCAATGTGACTGGCTGCTGATACATACCTCCAAGGGTTGGCAGGCAATATGGCAAGCTGTTGGCTCAGCTCTAAAGAGCCAGAGTTCAATGCAACAGGTGCAGGATCCACATTAGCAAGAAGAGAGACAGCCTTTCCACAGAGTCTGCTTAAACAGAAGTAGGCCAAACCCCTAAGAAAGTGTTCTTTCCATGGAAGTAAGGCTATAAGCAGGGATGCAGTGCCTCTCCCTAATCCTCTTAAAAGTACTTTGCTGCTCACAGCAGATCATATCTTGGAGTTCACTACATCATGTTAGGTCACTTCATGAGGGAAGCCTCAACTGCCAGACCATAGAGCATTGGGGCCAGCCAAGTACGTCAACACAGAACCTAACTATCACAAGGTGCCCCTTTATTGATGTTTTAATATTTTTAACTGCATTTTTGTGCGTTGCATATGGCCAATAGTATAGTATCTCAGAGTTTGTGTTTTCTTGTATGTGGTGAAAAATTGCATTGTATATATAGTGAGCTTATACACTGAACTGCTGACCACAAGGTCAGCAGTTTGAAGCCACTAGCCACTCCATAGGAGAAATATGAGTCTGTCTGTTCTCATAAGGATTTAAAGTCTCGGAAAACCAAGGGGCATTCGTGCCATGTCAGTGTAAGAGTCGACTCAATGGCAGAGGCATGGCTGCACCCCGTTGAGATGAGACGTGCTGTCAGTTTGTTGGGATGCTCCCAGCTGTCATTTTCACGATCCTTCTTCACAACCTCTCAGCTGAGAAGTCACCACCGACATTCCGAGTTCCTCATTGTTTCCACTCTGGTAGCACCACTGACGTTCCTCTTCCTGGGTGATTGTTCTCTTGACTTGTAATGCTCTTTGTTGACATGTTGTGTATCACCAGCTGTGACTGTGAGTTCCTTGAAAGCCCAAGATCTATTTCTGTAGTTGCTCCCATATAGGTCTCCCTGGGATACTGCACATCAAGTTTGTACTCAAGGCTCCCCATGGATTTGAGAGGCAGACTACCCATAGCTGCAGAGAGAATATCACATTTGGGGGTGGTGAGGGTGGCATCTCTTCTGTGGTCCCCAGTTTACAGAATGCACCTTCTCTCTCCTGGTGCCCCTCTCTGCTGCTTCTGCTGGCATGAATACAATCTACGTAGTAAGCCTTTTGTACACACCAGCAGCCACATGGATGAACTTCTTCCTTTCTATAGATCAAGTCACGAGTCATTCCAACCAGATTTTACTTGTATGAAAAGGTATCGAAATAATGGGCACATGAAGACAGGCCCGTGTACTCATCATGTCTTTTATGGCACCTAGTGCACTCGCTATTCACGGGATGCCCAGTAAAGAACATGAGCGGACTAGTGTGGGGGTGATGGGGTGAACAATCTGGAGAAGTCAAAAGGAAAGAAAGCTGTGGACAACATACAGCAGGGTTATACTTTGATTTTGGGGGGGCTAGCACAAGAAGAGGCCACAAGCTGCGTGAAGAAAGAGAACTGAGTTGGAGGTTGGTCGATATGTGAATTTTAAACTCCTTTGAAAGGTCTTAGGAGCGTGGTGGTGTAGTGGTTACACATTGGATTGCAATCCTCAAGGTCAGCAGTTCAAAACCACCTGCTGCTCCTATAAACAGTCACAGTCTTGGAAACTCTCAGGAGCAGTTTTACCCTGTCTTCTAGGGTTGCTATGAGTTGGCATCCACTCAATGGCAGGGAGTTTGGAAGTTATCATGCAGCAATTCACAGGGAATCACTCAGATTACTGAATTGTAAGAAACTACTTGCTTATGTGAATGCCTCCTGAACATTTGGTGATAATGTACTGACTCTAAACATTCGAGAGCTAGTTTGAAGGGGAAAAACATAACTGTAGGCCATCTCACTGACATGGTACTTGGAAATGTAAGTGATTGAACTTCTTTGATGATTTCCCACAGCTCTGCAAGTGAGTCTGGCTCTCAGAGCACTTGTGATCCACTTGTCACTCCCACAGCCCTGGCTGCCTGTACCAGAGTCGACTCCTGTTTCACTCCATGGTTTGTCCCATCTCTCGGCATCTCCTTTCAGTTCGCTCACCTGGAGTTCCACCTTTGTCATCACCTGGATCAACTCGGCACAGGTACTCCGCACCTCAGCGGCACAATCCTACCCTCTTGATCCTTGTTCTGGCTTGAGTGTTCTCATTGCTTCTCTGGTGTTTACCCAGATAGTTCATTGCCCGGAAGTTTAACAGCTTGGAAACGTTTTCATTCTGTGTAGTCCAGGATAAATGATGTCCCAGAATGCTGTTAGGTACTCACTACCCGCACCCTGCACCCCAGCCACAAAAAACGCTCTGCCCACTGAGTGCCGTCCCCTCTTCAGATGTGGTGTTTGTTTCCCTTAAACAGCGAGCATTCACCAGGTCGTTCTGAAGCTGGTTTGCTACAAGAGTGCTCCTCACTCTTGAGCCAGTTTATGGACCTATGAAGTTAGTTACCAAGGGTACCAAGCTGACGGGTTTAGAACAGCACTAATTCTTTGCAGCCACCGAATGAGGATTGTTAAGGAAGTTTTTAAAATGGCAAGTTTTTACTATTATTCCAGCTATAATCTGTTTGAAAGAAATACATCTGTTTTTGTTCAATTCCCTGAGCCATTACAGTAATGGTAAATAGATTCCAAAAGCACGTGATAGTGCCTGATCACAAAAGCACGAATACCTTCTGTAAAAGATGGGAAAATTCCCAAATAATGTAAAGAACTGGTATTTTTGCAAGTTTAAAAGGAAGAAGACTATACTTTCCCACATACCAAAAGTAGCCTTTTCTACATTTTTCTAGTGCTCATTGAATAATTATTGTTAAAGCATTGTATTCTCTACCAAATCTTTTAGAGTTAATACATTTTGATTCCAGGTATTAGGTTTTCAACCTACACGTAATGGAAAAAGGAAAAATATCAGATTAAAACCAAACACAGCTGCTGTTAAGCATCTTGCCTTTTCAGCAAAAACTGGAGTTTAATCTGCCTCCCCACCCTACACCCCCTCAACTCTCTGAGACATGTTTTTATTTTTGTTTTTGAGATTTGGTTGGTAGATATAGGGCAGCACTATAAAACTCCTCATATATATTTACCTTCCCTTCATATTATTTGTCATCTCCTTTGATAACATGTTTGTGATGTGAATGTAACCTTTGGGTAATGTATAGTATATTTAAGAGACCTCCTAATTGAGCTCAACAGAGTTTTGTTTGCAAATATCAAATAGTAACTCACAGCTTAAAATATCTTCAAAATGACACTTGAACTTAGTAAACACCAAATGCTTGAATTCAGTTCCCCCAAAATGAATAATTTGAATGTCATTTCACCCTTACACACCCACATTATTAGCTCATCCTGTTTTTCCTGTTTGTTTTCTCAATAGCTCCACCGCAGTACCTATACCCTTTTGTGTCCGATAAAAACGTGCCGTCCGAACTAGAATACATGATTGTCTCCATCCGAAGGCCGCACGTGTACCTCCGGCAGTGGGCGGATGGGTCCGTCTGCCAGGAGGTCCGGTTCTCAGCTCAAGCAGAGTGTCAACTTCTAGAGTGCAGAAACGTCACCATGCAAACTGTGGTCAAACCCTTCAGCATCTTTGGAGAAATTGCGGTTTCCAGCGAGGCAGTGGAAAAGCTGCTCGACTGCAGCCTGGTCATCGATTCCGTGTTTTTAAACTTTGGACAGCATGTAGTTCATTCTCTGAGCACTGCAGTCCAAGCTTGGCAACAGGTAAGTGCATTCCAGAGCAGCTTGCACTTTGGCCCACGATCTTTTATTAGGTACTGTGTGTTATCAATTCTAATAATAAGTTAACCACAAGCAAAATGCAAGAGAAGGAAGAATTTGATGGGCACCACAATATGTGGAGCCTTCCCCGTTTGGGCCAAGTAACGCATGTTCGTTTTTAAAACTTTGGAGACTATGAATTCTCGACACGTGCATTGGAGATCACGCCCACATTTTTGTGTTTGACTAATATACCACATCTGTGTGGAAAGTAACATATCCCCCGAAATGTTTCCCAAGTGTTGTGGCTTTAGCTTGCCAGAGCTCCAACTTAGCTATGTGTAGAATTGTCTAAGCATCCCTTGCAGAAATGAAGAACCTGTTCGGGTCTTTCCATCTTTTCAAACATGCCAAATGATAACAACAGCAGGCAAGCTTGATAATGTGAGCATGACACACTTTTAGTCTCTGATGATCATTTCCGATTGTTTGACTCCCTAAAAGGCACTGGGTAGCGGATTGTTGTGGATCAATTAGAAAGCCAGTAGTAGTTTTTCACTTTCATTTCTTAACAGAAATTAGCTCCAGCAAAGGGGATGAGGCTTAAGTCTCTGCCGAGGGCCTTATTTGACATGGAGCGCCTGTCTGCCCCCCTGGCAGGAAAAGCAGTGTGCAGCACGTTCAACAAGTTACAAACAGATCACTTCTGCTTCCAGGGCTGATGCTGAGTACAGTAGTGTCTTCACATCAAAGTAGAGACGCCTCTCCACATCATCCGTGTTACGTGTGCTTGTGTGTGGCTGGCTTCCCAAGAGCGCTGGCCCTTCCCCCGCTGACCTCTTGAGGGCTTGGGGGCAGGGAGTGTGCAGGAACCTTCATCTGCTAACTGCAGAAGTTTCACAGGAGTAAACTCTTTTCTGGATATGCATGAAGGCCTATACAAGACTAAGGAATTAATTACCTAACATGGCACTACAATAGCAAAGGGAATGAAGATAACACATCTGTTTTGTATTCTAGGATTCTTTTTTAAGGGCATTCCATGGTTTTCTTGTTGCAAAGGACATGCGTAAAATAAGAGCTAGTGTGATCTAAATCTTTGCAGCTGGTTCAAATCGGGATGTGAAAAAACCCTGCATGGCTCCAATTTCTGTTTTTTGTCATATTTTGAACAATCCGTTTAATAAAAAACAAGCCCAGAAAATATAAAAGAGTCATTGATAGAGCATTTAAGCGCAGGATATTTTTGTCTTGGTATCAGAACCATTATAAGAGGACTCATGTGGCAACTACTGCAAAATGCCCTTCAGAAATATCAGTTTGTTCCCAGGGTAAGCGCATTCTCCTAGACACCGCTATACATATAAATAAAATACGGTGCATAAATATTTAAATGTTTTAAACCACATCAGAGTGTGAATGACTGACTGGCTAACACAATGCCTTGAAGGAATATTCTGATTTTCTTGCTTTTTTTTATTTTTTCAAATGGAACTGTATATTTGATTAAGTAGAGCCATATGTCACATAGCATATTGCTGACAGGTACATTCTATGAATAGTTAGTTCTGATTTATACAGGGATTTGGCAATGTTAACATGAGCCACAAGAGGATATACTTTTGTAATTGTTGCTGTAATTTTCTTGTTTCCTCCCATGTCAAGGGTACTTGCCACCAAGTTTTAATGTGGTAGGCATCTAACCTGTGTAGTCTAAAGTAAACCCAAAAATGCACCGCTTCCAATTTATAGAACATTTGACATTGCAATGGTCTTCCAGAGGGCTATTCAGCCATTGTTTCTCAAGCTATTCTAAATGTGGTGTATCCCATTAGAGGGGAAGTTTCATTTCCCAAGCTTGGATTTTATTGTGTGTGTAGGGTGCATCTACAGTGTAATCATTGCCAATGAGTGAAATGAATTTAATAATCAGAAGAAAATATGTGAGTCCTCCACACAGTTTGTATCAGATTCAAATCTGAGACAAGCCATTCTTACCCAGTGTGGATGGACCAGACAGCTGAAGCATGAAACAATGTGGCCTTTCCACCTTGAGGCCAGGAGTTCAAGATTAGCAGATGCTTTCATCGGTGTCTGATTTCTATAGCCATAGATTTTTTCCCCCCCTCCTCTTGTAAATGATGAATATTTTGTGAAACCAGCTTAAGGCCCAAAATGCTACTTGCAATTTGCTTTACGAGAGGGCTTCAAAAACATTTGTGGAGAAATCCATTATCTCTTAATTCCATTTTTCCACAACCTTTTCAAATTCCCAGTTTTTAAAATAGATATCTTTTAAAGAAGAATGTTTTAAATCATTATACTCATGTGTCCTATCTTAACACCAAATAATATCCTGCTTAATAGCAAATGTCTGTCACCACTCCCAACACAGATCTTAGATACAGATCAGTCATCTTTTAATCACAAATCTGAATGAGTGTGCTGGGGTCCAGCCTACATGATGTCACTTAGCATGCATATAAACTTTTTACAACACTCAAGAATATAAGACATTCCAAGAAATGCTTACACTTATTGCAGTTATAATGAACTCCACAGATGAGGGGCCAGCTGAGAACCCATTCCCAGAGGACTTTGAATATTCTTTAGAAAAATGTAAACAACCCCCTCGTGTTCTTTAATTTACATTTTTTCCGAAAACCCTCATCAGTTATTAAAGGTCGGTTTTGAGAGATGAGGAAAGTAATAGGATTGTTTTTTGGGGGGGGGAATTTTCCCCTACTCAAGCCCCATCTGGTGATTTAACCTCAGTGTTACCAGCAGATTGATCCCAATTTATTACAAAAGCTGACTTTCCATCTCGGGACATCTAACTCCATGGAAGTTTGTAATCCTATCCTTTCCTTCATTGTTTGTACCATTGGACTCACGGGAGGGAGCCGTATTTACAAGGAAAGCTATTGACAATCATTAGATAAGTCTAAGTGGGAAAAGCCCACATTACAAAACTAATTAAACGCCATGATTCCAGTTTGATTAAAGGTTTGTCAATAATTATATGAGCTCGGGTCAGACAGCGTAAAGTGGACACCAGCAGGAAAGTCAGAAAGGGGGCCGGAGCCAGGGGCTACTGGAAGAAAAGCCATTAGACTGTGACTAGCCATTATCTCCTAAGTAGTCAAATTAGAGGTAATTTTTTCAAATGAGCTGTGTTTTCTAATTTTCCACCGGAAACAATATATTTCTATTTTAAATTTACAAGTTAAATGTCCTCAGTAACAACAACCATGCCAGAAATCATACTCAGCATTACCCTGCATCAAGTCTAAAGGCCCCTAGTTGTACCTATTGATTTGTTAACAGTAGATAGAAATGCTCTGGAGGTGAATTCTCGGGCATTCTGTAAACATAAAACTGGGGAGTGGAGTTGCTAACTTGATCTGGGGAGAATCTCAGAAGACTACTCTGAGAAAGTGACTTTACCACCGGAACCCAAAAGCTGAGCAGGAAGGAGATTGTCCAGCAGAGGAGGAGAAAGAAGGGATTTGACAAGTTGGTGAATTGAAAGGAGGCCAGTGTCGTGTTGGGGTCAGGGAAACAGCTAGTGGCGCATGAGGGTGTGGTGAGCAACCCAAGAGTGGCTCAAGATGGGACGGGAGACCTGGACAGAAGGCAGGTGAGGCAGGCCGTCTACAGCCCTACCAAGTTTTCAAATCCTCTCCAAATTAAAAGTCACAGAAGAGAGTTTTGTGGTAGACAGCCGGTCAGTGCTGGTTGAGGTTCCTTCCGAATCCCCGGGCAGAGTGCAAATTGTCCGTGTGTCCAGCTGCTAACTAACTGGGAGGACGGAGATTCACGTGCACCCACAGCTGTCTCAGAGGAAAGCCCTGGAGATGCACTGCCGCAAAACTAGCCGTTGAAAACAACCCTGTGGAGTGTGGTGCGGGTCTGATAGCCGCGAGGTCGCTATGGATTGGAGTCAATTCCACCGCAACTGGTTTGGTTTGGGCTATAGTGCCTTTGGCCTCACTGAGCCCCAGAGCCTTTTGGTGACTGAGCGAACCAGACTTAGCTCTGAGAGAGCGGAGAAGGTGTGTGAGAAAAGTCAGTTATCAGGAGGTGATCTGGGAGTCAGTCCTCCAGGGCCTCTGAGGAAGGGAGGGACATGACGACGTCGTTCCCAGCTGCAGCCATCAAGCACTACAGACTCGCTCTTGGTGGCCTTTGGAGTGACTAGGGGTGGCCTCCGTTTCCCAAGATACTTCTGTTCCAGATTCAGTTCTAACCCTTGTCTTGTCCAGATTCCAGGTGTTTCTTCCTGGACCTCCATGGTTTCAGGTCCCATCGCCACTGAATCATTATGCTCCTGAGTATTAAAGTAGCAAATGCTGGTGTGTGACATTTTGACAGTATTTTGATCCACACATAGAAAACAGATGCCAACTGGACAGGCATCAATTACATGTTATCTCCCATCATCTGCAAATTGATGAGCTAATTAGGGGTTTCTTTTTCTTGTGTTCTCCGGTCAATTCTTTTTTATTTTACCAGAAGTTTGTTTATTGGTTTTAAAGCCACGACTTGACCGGAGTGATGAAAGCCAGCACACAACCCTCCGTTGCATTTTGGGTAAGACAGCCGCCACTGGAGATCCAGTAAATTCAGAAAGGCAGTGTCAACGTTGTGGTTGGAGTAGCTTGCTGAATACTGATTAACGAAGGACGTTGGCTGAGTGATGGCTATTAGCTGAAACAGATACTGACAACTGTTTTTAAACCAATACCATTCTCTCTCTCAAAAAATGCAACTTGGCCTGCACTGACCCTGGGGTTGATCTGTGATGTGTTCGAGGGAGAGTGAGGACTATTTGCATCTCTCTGAACAGATTCACACATGCACACACACATACAGCCACCCTCCCACTTAACGGATCTGGGCATGTGTTGCCTAAATGACCCTTACTTTATGTAAGGGTGCAACCATGGCTTTGGTAATTGGTCTTGATGGGTGCGTTTAGATGGCCAGGAACATGGTAATTCTAGCCTCTGATACTTTGCTCAGAAACATGCACTACCCATTGCTGGGTTCTTTGTAGCATGTTAATTCACTTTAAAACATATTAAAAGTTCGAGGGATCTCATTGTTCTTTTACTCTGCTGTGTATATGATTTATTTTACCCGAGTAGAAATCAAAACACATTCTTGGAACGTTTTAGAGCTCTTTAAGGTGTGTGTGTGTGTGTGTGTGTGTGTGTGTGTGTGTGTGTGTGTGTGCGCGCGCGCGCGCGCGCTGATCTGGAAGTATAGCATACTTCGTATCCCAGAGCTAATGACAGCACATCTTCCAGCGTTTCTGTGTTAGAGCAATCGCCACTGGGCAGACAGCTGCCAAACATCTTGCAATTAATCTGATGCACGTTGGTTTGCGTATTCTTTTTCTTTCAGAACAAATGCCCTGAGGGAGAGGAGCTGGTCTTCAGCCATTTTGTGATCTGTAATGACACACAGGAGACCCTGCGGTTTGGCCAGGTGGACACGGATGAAAACATGCTTCTGGCCAGCATCCACAGTCACCAGTACAGCTGGCGCTCGCACAGATCCCCACAGGTACCGGAGGCACAGCCTCACAAATGCAGCGATTGTTAAGGTCGGGGTTCGTTTAAGTCTGCCCAGTGGGCCCGCCTCCAGGTATTGTCCTTGTGGAAGTCCCGCAACTCGGACACACTCAGAGCACCCATGCTTCTCGATAAAGAGAGGAGTGTTTCCTGTTTCGCAAGCCTGGTGTTGAAAGGGTTATACTCTGGAGCCAAATATGGAGGCCAGGGCCTCAGTTTCGCTCATATGTAAAATGGGGAAACGGGGACCTATTTGGTGGCCCGCGAGGACTACCTGAGTTAGCATGCAGAAGGCAGGCAGTGCTGATATGCTGACAGGCGTAGGCGTTGGCTGCATGGCTCGGCTTTATTCAGATTTTCACTGTACGTGTACTCTGCCAGGAGCATGGCATTCAGTAGTCACAGTCCTCGCCCTGCACGAACAAGCTCAGTGACGAAAGGCCACGGGCGCCCGGAGAAAAGCCCGGACAGAGGCCGTCGGTTTTGCAAGCAGGGTAATTGCATTTCCCTGCTCTGCTACGAGGAGGAGGAATTAAATGCAGGGATGTGGTGTTAGGTGAGTCCAAGAAATCCTAGGAAGTCCTCCTAGGAATCACATATTTCTAAACCTCTGGGTCAGAGGACACTGCTGTCTGCTTGTGAGTCACAGGAAGCCGTGAGATTAGAGAACAGATAGGCCAGCCTCAGGATGTGCTGCGTGTCCCCTCGGGCTCCAGCTGCGCTCCCTCTTCCAGAGCTAGATTCTGATTTCTTAACTTGCTTTTTTTTTTTTTT